GATTACAGGTTCTTAGTCCGGCACTATCAGTGCATAGCGACCATTCACGATCTCCTAACGCATCGAACAACAAGCAGTCAATTACCCTGACCAGCAATCACAGGATAAGTTCCTGCTCGAGGAATGCGTCCCCAGTACTCGGTACCTCGAATCAGAATCACGTAACGGAAGCGGTGCCGCGTACACACAGTTCTAATAAACGACTACGGAAAGAGGAGAGCAGCAAGGACCAATGTCAATACTATCAATCGCCGCATGGAACTGAGTCGACGATAGAAGAAGTCAAGAAGCAACGGCTCAACGGCGAGAACATAAGTGGTAATTTAAATTCGCAAGTGCCTAGCCCTACACTGAAGGAACGAATCTCCGATTGTTTCGCGGAGACTTCTCTCGAGACTACGAACGACGAATCGGGCCCGAAGAAGCGCGGCCGTAAAAAGGGCAGTAAATCCGCGAAGCGACAATCGTTTCTGGAAGATAGCGTGAAAGAGAAGCTGGCCAGTATCTCGAGGAATCCGAAACTGAAGACCACGCAAGAGTTACTAGCCGATTTACAGGCGCGCGGAAGTAATTGTAGCCCCATCGGCAGCGCCAATGCCCTACCTAGTCAAAGCGTCGCGGAACCGCCGAGCACGGAAGATGTTCTGCGAGGTAGCAACAATGAGCAGGTGTTCAAGCATCTGCGCTGCTCAAGCCAGAAGAACTCCCAGAGTCTTCACAGAAGTGGTCTGCCTTCCTCGGAGACATCCACTGGCAAAACGCAAAAAGCGGCTCGATTGAGAGCCGCAGAGAATTGTCGCGAGTCGCCCTCACCTGAGTCGTGTCATGACAGGCTGCGTGAAGACGATAGGATATCAGAAACTATCGAGACGTCGACGTGTCGATCACCGTTGCAACGGGACCTCACAGTCGAGGAAATATTGGCCAAGTTACCGCCCTTAGATCCCAGCTCGATAGACTGGGGCGAAGACGAAGAACGGGACGACGCCGAATGTTTTCCGCCACCGCGGGATGCTACCGCCGAGGATCTCGAGAGGTTACACATGCAGTGTATCGAAGGACTTAACGGGAACTTTCAGCCAAGACTGTCGATGGCGACTGCGTGTTCCGATGGTGACGAGCGCTCGAATGCCAGAGACGGAGGGAACGGTGTGTCGTCAGGATTGTCGAACGTGGATAGTGTAAAAAGTGTGCATAACAACCAAACTGACAATGTGGAATTTCGGGAGTGGCATCAGATGCTAGCGAGGCCCAGTTACCAGGGCGAGATCCTCAACATAATGCCTTATGTTATTATCGATTAGTGATTTTATCATCTTATTCTATTATTATCCTTTGTTCCTTCCTCTTCCCCCCTCCTCTCTTCTGTCCTTGAGAAAAGAATTATGAGGAGAATCTTGAGATAATTAAAAACAGCCAAGCTGATCGAGGAATCACTTGATCGAGATTGATCTTAAAACTAACGATTTCTATTGCGATTTCTGATTGTGCTCTTCATTTCTATTTACGCTGGCGCACTACACCGCAACCATTCTTCTTGTCATCATCATTCCCATTAATATAGTCGCTATCTCACTGATCATACAAGTGCAACCCTGAGCGGCAAATAGCCATTCTTCTTACCATCATCATCGTTATCGACATCAACATCGTCGTATTATAATTATTATATTATAATATTAATATTATAACTTGTATAATATTAATATTATAACTTGTATAATATTAATATTATTCCTTTTTATTATTATTAATATTATTGTTATTAGTATTATTATGTGAATTATTAGTACTCTCTGTTCTCTACTTCTATTCTTTTCCCCCTCCATTATTTTCATAATTATTGTTATTGCCATTACCACTCCATCATCATCATCTCATCATCATCATCATCATCATCATCATCATCATCATCATCATCATCATCATCATCATCATCATCATCATCATCATCACAATCATCATCACTATCATTATTATCGTTGTGCTAACGATAAAGAGATTAAGAGACCATTAGGAAAAAAATAGAATCAATGCTAAATTATTATGGCAAGAGCAACAACGTGATTGGTTTTTGTAATCGCACTGTATACGCGGAATGAATTGTTAATTGTGAAATATAAATTACATAGATGTGGAATAACGAATATACCGCGAGATACGCATGCTGCGATACGAGTACTGCATTATTTTTACACAATAATAAAAATAGGCGTCAATATGGCTCCTGACTTTTCATTTTTGAGTATTCAGATACAAATTGCTTCTTTTATGCGTTAATTGGTTACTTGCGAGAAATTGATTTATATCTTTTTTTAAATCTATCACACGCCGTGTTCAACTGAAACATAGAGTTAATCCTAAATTCTGTCGAAGGACATGAAAAGGAAGAGACGTTAAAAAGACAGATGTGAAAATTACACTTGAGAACACGTGAGAAGATACGCAGACATAAAAAGACATAAATGCATAAACAAGATTCAAGATAAGACGTTTGCCGTTCTTCAAAGTATTTCATAAGACTGTTACACAAGGATTCTGTCGCGCGACTGTAGGAAGCAATGCGATTTCTTCAAGCTATCAATAAGTTAGGTACACCGGTGCCTTAATTAAGCAAAAAGAAAAAGAAGGAAAGGGCGGAAAAAAATATATTTGTCTAAGTGCGTCATAGAGATTTTCTACTCAAAATTTCTTTTGTTTATTGCACTTTGCGTTGCGATTTACGGCGGACGTATCGTAAAGTCACACACACACACACACACACACACACACACACACACACACACACACACCACATCATGCATCATCAAACGGCGGAAAAAAAAAACGTTAACAATTAAGTACGGACGTGACACACGATTTTCTCGTAAGTGCAATACCGGACAGGCTGAAATTTGATAATACACAAGATGTGTCTCAAAAAAGTTGCAGAGCTGACTGAATTATAATAAAACAAAATTCTGAAACAGATACATGCCTGGCTCATCTTCCTCAAGACTGCAGGAACTTGGACCGAAAAATTTTGGTCCAAAAGCTAAATCAAATTTTTAGTTCCAGTTTTTCGTAACCGGGATCATTTGGATTTTAGTTCTTTTCTCAGTTTTAGTTTTCGATAATTATATATAATTATATATAATATATGTATATATTATATGTAATGATCATCATTACTAAAAGAAACCGAAATTTGGATATAGCCTTGGATCATAATCTTAACCAGGCCGAAATTTTAATATGAAATGTAATTTCGATACGAGTCCCTGCTCAGAAGTAATCCCTGTCGAATACAATATTACGATAAAGCATCTAGTCCAGTAAAGAATCGAGAGAATTGTTTTGTAAAGTTTGCGTTCAATACATTTGTTAAAACCACCTGTCTGCATTTGCACGAAATGAGTCCTTTAATTCTCAGCTGTTTGTTATCCTCGTCATCCTTTTAAAATTTTTCATGATCGTCCGCTTGGAGAAATACATGCATATTGTTCACAAAGGATCCTGTAGCATATAGATCAGAGCCACGGTGGAAGAAATGTATTTATATGAATTATCCATTACCCGAAAGCTACGAGAAGCTCTGAAAGTGACAAGTCACGAATTTCTTCCAAACCCTTTGTTTTATGATAATCCATTCAGTCTCAGAGCTTTTACGACCCGTCTCTTGTACATTTCTGGTGTGAAAATAAATCAAGTTGAATATACTCTTATCCGTCAAAGGCATCGTTTATTATTCATACTGTGATCTTTCCGAACAGTCGAGAAAACTGTATCACTTCGTCTCATGTGGGACGAGAAGTAGCAAAAAGCAAAAGAAAAAATTTACTTGTATATTTAATTCGTCGAGAAATTAATTTTTTTAATCGGTATACAATAAAACCACACAACTGGATGTATCGATGTTATATAAAAATAATATGAGATATGCCGTTTTTCAAAAGTCACGTTTCACGTGACCGATTTATATGATCATCCGTGTTCAGAGAATCTCGGAATTCGAGTATACAGCGTTTTTGTTTTTAAAACGTTAAACTTGAAAATATTATCTATCTTGATAATTTTTCTGATCAGTAAAAAGGTACGAAAATTCATAGAAACGAACGCAGAACAGACTGATTACTAAATTTCTCTTTTTGATTTTTACTTCGCCAGGATAAATTTCTCTTTTTGACTTTTACTTCACCAGGATCTCGATTTGGAATATTACAAAGAACCTTTAACAAAATGTCAAATGTCGAGACGGTGAAATTTGTGTGGCTACCTTTATTAGATTTTGAAACATTCTTGATATTTAAAAGCTAATGACTTTTATTCGAACCACGCGATTGTATAAAATTGTTTTATTACGTAAATTATAAGCCTCATCGCCTAAATCTCGTTTTAGTTCATCGGCGTATACCTATAAAATGTAGTTTTATTTAATTTAAGCAATTTATTGATTTTCTTCGATGATATTAATTCGTATAAACTCGTTTTAATTGAACCCTTTATTTCTCTTTTTCTTAAAAAATTTAACGTTTTATTTTGAGCAAAATGGAAATTTTGTAGTCTTATATATAATTTACAGAAGTTATTTTATTATACAATATAATACAGTCTTCTCGCAAATTATCATATATATGTACCTCTATATATTCTATCTATTTCTTGTACTTTCTGTTTTTGCACTGTCCGTTTTGCTGTTTTCAGAACTATCAGAGTCCATTATTTGTTTCGCAGGTTTACTCTGTGATAGCTTCAGTAATCGTTTAGGTGCTTTTTGCGGTATTAATGCTGCAACGACGAATCTACCCTCCTCATTGATGAAGTTAAACACCGTGCATGCATTGTATACAGAAATTATTTCCGTATTGATACCAAGCTTGTGTACATATTCTCGAAGACTTTTCATATAAGCAAAATCGTACTGATCATCCAATCCAATGATCAAAACATCAGGCTTTGGCTCGAGGACAGTGAATAACGAAAGCGAAGCCTCATTTATGTGCTTGCCAGACTGAATGTTCCAGCAGATAGCGTGTCTGGGAAAGAGCACTGTTGGCCCCAACACTTTTGTACCGGTACTCAACGTGAATCCCATCTGAAAAATAAGAAATCATAATCTGGACTTTGACTCAATATAAGATATTGATGGTTCATATTGATGAATCCTTTACGTGATTTTCTGATCCTTTACTATACACGATCATTCTGGATTATGGGCTTTCTACAATAAGCTTTATCTAAGCTTTAAGTCTTAAAGCATAGTGGTTTTTATAGTAGAAAGCTTATTAATTTTTATTATGTTTAGAAAAAAAAACAAAATTATTAAATGATTCTTTCGTACACTCTAACATCTTTCAAAAATATTTATGAATCCAATAATCGAGAATGGATTGAAATTGATTCAGATTTTCAAAAATACGTATTTGTGAACGTTGAAATAAATCCTTTTCAATCCTAATATATTTTTATTGATTCATAGGAAATGTATGAAGCACATCTTTATGATTTTTAATCTAAAAAAAATTCAGTTTCAGTCTTTAAATACATTGCGAAAATTCAAACTGCTCAACTGCTCAATTCAAAATTGTAAATAGGAAACGTAATTTTTTAATCCAATTGAATCTAAAAAAAAAAAGTGAAAATAGAATGAATTATGTGATGTGCGAGCATCTTTGGTGTAGCAAACTTGTAGCAACAGCATACTTGTCTGCTATATTAAAGATCCCAGTAGAATCGAAAATGTTTGTACGCCCAACAAACGAGAATGGATTAAAATGCATTGAAATTTTTTTATTTTAAAATGAATACTTTTTTTTTGGATTTAATAGGATTCAATTGGATTCAATTAGATTCAATTGGATGCAATTGGATTGAAAACTGCATTTCCTATTCAAAATTTTGAATTGAATAGTATTCATAATGTGTTGCTTGTGCATAGAAAAAACTAATATTATTTTTAGATTGAAAGGCATAGAGATATGCTCCATGCAATTCCTATAAATGAATAAAAATGCATTCAAGATTGAAAAGCATTCATTTTAACATTCGTGAATCAATATTTCTGAAAATCTGAATCCATTTCAATTTATTTCAATCCATTCTCGTTTGCTGGGCGCTCATATCTCCTCTCAGAAGGCAATAGCAAACCACTGAGTAATATATTTGTCCAGAAAACTTCTCTATAAAATTGCTGTTCAGAATCGGCATTTAGAAAGTATAAAAAAGAAGACCATGAATGCTACCAAAGTATGCATAGATTTGGATAGATTCAAAAGGATTAAAATTTCAATCCATTTTAATCTATTCTCTTTATTAGGAAGTTGTGTATTTAAAAGAAAGACCATTTAGCGTTCCTAGTATACGTTCCTAATATTTCAAAGAAAAGAAATATACAGGATACAAATGATCCAATTATGTATACTAAGCATTAATAAACCATTATTAGATAAATTACTGAGATTACCTGATCACAACGATTCACATAGATTCGAGAACCTATCTCCTTACTGATAAATGTTACGGTGGTTTTGCCAGATCCTTCATATGCATTTTTAACATGTGTAAGGTATAAATTCCTGCAAATATCAAATATATTTGAGATTTTAAGATTTTACGAACAAAAAAGCTTCAGTAAAATTAGAATAAAAGTGAAAAATTATTGATGTCAAATCAGTTTTAATAATCTTTAAAATTTTCACTTTAAAATTTTCTTAATAATAATCATCAAAAATTCATTTAATCAATCAATCATGTATCAATAATTCGTACTACATTAGATTAGTACACATAAAAAGTTGATTATATAAAATATCTAAATAAAGTAGTATAATTTGATCAATTTTGAAATAATACATTTATATTCTGTCAATAATACATTCATATTTCTTAAATAACATGATAATTAAATAGTTAATTTTTTTTTAATTTATCTATATATCTATACATTTAATTTTATGTACAGCAGCTTCCTACAGTATGCACTAATTTAGCATAGTATAAGTAATCAAATTCGTAAAAAATTCTTTTAAATAACATCAAGCAATACTCAAAGAAAGTTACACAATCGTTAAAAAAAAATCTTTTATCTTTTTATAACAATCCGTCAAATACCCGATTTCACATGTTTCGTAAGTCACGCACCTGTAACCTTGTAACATTGGCCTCAATTGACATAATCTGCCGATCATGTTCATTGTATTCCGAGGCAGGTCCACTGCGTCGCGAAGTCCAGATTAGCAGCAGCGGACAGAGATTCAGATTAGTTTGACTTTTTACAATTGCATTGGATTGCGTGGCGAACCATTCAACAAAATCATTATAGGTTAGGATAGATTAGGACGTGCGCTCCGATTTCCCTGCTGTTTCTTTCTGTCTCTTTCTCTTTCTTTTTCTTTCTCGTTCCATCTCCCTTCCTCTCTCTGACGCCGTGGCGGCGCGAGAAAATTCGGTTTTATAATCAATTTCCACCGATCATGTTTCTGTTGATCTTTGGATGATTTTACCGAAACAAATCGGGCACTTTGTTCTCGCGTGGCGACGTTTCTGTAAAAATGTCAACGTGCAAACGAGAAATGACGATCCGCAAATCCATTAAGACACGGCGATTTAAACATCGCATCATGGCGATGCGCGCTCGTTCGCCGTGGGCGCCCCTTCCCATTTTTTCGATATATTTTTAGCAATATCGCGTATAAATACTCCGTCGAGAAGAAACGTTATTTCAATGTAACATCGATGAGCAGTAATCGAATCGAAAATGAGCAAGGGCTGTTGGAAATTCGATGAAGAGGACAAAGGTGAGCGCGTGATACTCTCTCTTTTTTTCTTTCTTCCCCCCCCCCCCTCTTCAGCTTCCGAGAGAAAAATCCATGAAAACAATCGATATTCCATGCATTCCTCATGATCTTGCGGCCTAGAAATGCCCCTCGATTTTCCACACAATTTTACGCTTCGGATATGAGATCTTTATCACAAATTACTCCCATAATGTTTTTCATATCGACTAAAGAGATAATCATACGCTCATGCTGTCGCGTGTAAACACGCGACTTTTTCCTCTGCACAATTCTGCATAATTTCTTCTTGATGTAACTAATAACTAGATATATGTGTAACATTACGTAGAGGATACCGGCGAACAATCTTTTCTCCTTAGCGAGACAAAGGATCATTGAAAAGCATGAAAGATTAATTTGTAATTGGAATCGATGTTAATATCGTCTAAAAATAATTCGCATTCAAGGTAGACATATATAAAAATAGTACGTCGATACAAGGAGAGAAAACACATAGCACTGTAGATTGAAGTTTAACTCTGGATTAAAGGAATAAAGCAAATCTTATCTGCCAAGCCTTGTATATAGATCTGGAGGAGGAGGACACGGAGGAGGATAAGCTGTATAAGAAGTACAGTTCCTGGGATCAGACACCTGACATTCTGCTGGAGGAGATATTCTCGTACCTGACCATTCGCGAGCGTTACTATGCATCTCTGGTCTGCCGATCGTGGTATCGTGCTTTTAAACTGCAGAACGTATGGTCCACATTTACCTTGGAAGATACTACCCTCACGCGAGGGAAGTTCAACTACTACAGCGGCTGGCAGTACGTCCTGGATCACATAAGAACATCCACTTGTCTGAACAAAGTTGGAAGGAACTTTCGCACCCTCGTGTTCGAGCCTATGTTGAATTTTTACAATCTTTATGAATTCATGAACATGATATCATGGTATGCCGAACGACAAGGATCAGATAACACGTCTGTGGCTGGCGTGGGTACCTACATTCGTAGGTTGAAATTTACCTTTCCTTGTAACATGGCAAACAGAGACGATCCTGATCGAATTAGAGTCTTTGGCACTGGTGGAAAGCTGCTGGAAGCTCTCAAGAGACTGATGAAAAACCTGCAGAATCTTAGATGTCTGGAGCTGATAGATTTGATGCTTGACAGCACCGAAGCATTGCACTTAATGGACGATATCTGTACAAATTGCACTCAGACATTGTCGAAATTGATATTGATAAATACCACGCGTTACAATTGTCCATTATTACATGTAGGAGTATTTATTAACTTAAACGTGAGTACATCAAGTATGTAACAATTGATAGAATTAGTTGATATATAAGTTTCTGATATTTAATTAAAAATTCTTTTAGGTCTTAGTCATTAGTCCCCAAAATTTGCATGAAGATATAATAGAATTAATAGGATACACAAAACTGAGACACCTTCATATTCTGCAAAATCGATACAGTCCAAAGGACACTACCATAAGATTGGTAATTATAATTTCTAACACATATACTAATCTTTTTGCATCAATAAATATTTATTTGGATTTTTATTTTAGCCAAAGAGATCATCTTGGATCAAGATGAAAAAGAGCAATCCTTATTTAAAAGTTCACTTTGAAATAGAGAGTCATAAAGCCTCGGATATCCTTTTGCCTATCGATTTACTGGAACATAGTGCTATACCGTGTCACAGTATAGTATTGGATAATCCAAATACACAAGTGAGTAAGAGATAATAATATGCGATTTTATATTAGAGACAGTATAGGACTTTTATTTCATACTAATAATGTCCTGCAGCTTTCGCCATCCATGGTACTCACTCACGGAGCGTTTTTCGACTCGACGATACGGGTGTACGCTTTTAAGGGAGTTACGAGATACTATCTGCACAGGAGCTTCGCTAAAAGATTGGATGAGGCGTTAGTGCAATTCTGCCGAATGTGCCCGAATCTGCATACACTGGTAGCATTTTGTATTTGAATCAAAAAGCTTGTGATAGCTTTCCTTAAAACACTGATGTTAACGCGACTTTACGATGTGCTGGCATGCGTTCGTAACTTTACACATTATGAAAGTCTTTCTTGCTATTGTGTGAGTGTAAGTTCCTCCTAACTATTCTATAAGCTTACTTATCCCAATGCTGCGCGTGCTAAATATTCAAATTGTTGAATGTTTTATAAGCTTCCTCAATCTTCTTATTTGTAATATATTCTGAAATGTAAATCTCTTCTTTCTGCGATTAGATATAGTTAATCGAATAATTATATTAAATCAGAACTCGAATAAATAATTAAGTCCTTAACTTTTGAGATTTATTTAGATACAAAAAAATTTATTTTTTATATTCAAGATCAATGTTATAAATCATCAAATATTATAAATCATCATTATCTAGCTTTTCCTGAATGTCTCTAATATCTATATAACAATAACTAATTGTTAAAAAAGAATTATTCTATTTTTGTCTATTTTGTCTTATTGATTTACAATATAGTGACAAATACTTCTTTCAGATGATCCGAGATAAAATATCGACTGCTACGATTTTAGAGATTGTCTCTACCGCAAAATGTTTACGCTGCTTGTATGTTCGACGAAACGTAGTTCTGAAGAGATGTGACAGAGCTTGGTCGAAAATTCTGGATAGGTCACCCGAGTATTATCGATGGATTAAGGTAAATAGTCATAGCTACGAGAACACGGAGCGAGAAGTGTCCAGAATATTGGGCTATCGATGGCACATGTTGTCTGAGAAGGAATTTAAAGCGCAAATAATCAATATGCATATATAAGCCGCTTATGAAGCGATATATAATATATGTATATGTTATAGCAAAAACATAAAATTGATAGTTGTATACATTTAATAGTAAATTTATATACTGAATTGACAATATCTTAACAAAATCATTAATTTTTATTTATTAAAAATGAATTATTCAGTTTTACTTATTAAAACCTTGAGAATAATTATATTTAATTACTAATAAAAGTATATAATTAAGATATTTTGTTTTTGTTGTAACATGCGCGAACTCGCCTGTGTTTTTTAATTTTTAAAATCTTTTTATATAATTATATAAATTATATATAGTAATTTATTGTATTACGTCCATCGTCATAACAGTATTTATTTATATACAGGGTTGGGACGTGACGCGATACTTGTAATGATACATTTTCGATAATTTTTAAGTAACGATAATGATAACGAGTTAGTCCAAGTACCTTTTTTAATTAACAATTCCTATGACCGTGTGATTTAGTATATCTCTCCCTTAGTATATCTTATTGTCAACGTTTTATAATATTACTATTTAATATTACTGTTCAAACTCGAATTAGAAGAATCTATATCTTTTGTAGTATACAATTTTATAAACTTGACATGGTTCCGTTTATGTATCTCTACTTTCTTTTGTATAATTTTATTCTGACTTTCTGTGCCAGATCCATTTTTAAAGTTTGTTATGTAAATTACTATTACTTAAGATGAGTCTTATTATCTTTTTTAAATTGTATCCTTTTCATTAATCGTTACGTCACTGATAACATCTGATTTTAATATATGATGGATGATGTTTCCATCTACTCTTCCAATTGATTAGACAACATAATTTTGTTTTAATCTACTGACCTCTCGTTTCGTCTAGCAATATTCAATATGATAGTGCAGTTTTCGATTTTAATTTTCGTTTTCGCTAATAAGGATTCAAATATTAGAGCCGAAATGTACGAGCAGAATATTGTAAGATTTTTAGATGGATTTTTGGATGGATTTGAGTTAATTAAAATTTGACTTATTATAGAATTATTTAATCTGTGCACCGATTATCGCACTTGATTCCCATATTCATTTCGTTATTATGTTTTACAAAAAGTAACGGTAATGCATTACTTTTATGAGATGATATTCTCAACCCTATTTATATAATGAAACGAGACTATAGAAATTGATTGCCATGATTGTACGCTTAATATTAGTAATAAGTCCTGTAATTAAGTGTAATATTATTTTTATGTACTATTGTAATTGTGATTGTAAAAAATTATTATCGAAATAGAATGAAATGTACTTAATTAAAGTTATGTAATTATGATTTCGTAACTGTAGTTTTTTTTTAATGGAAGTGACTGTGATCAACGTTTTTAAATCATCAAAGATAATGAGATCTGTTCGGTGTCTATTGGATTGTTCTATAGAGAAAGATGTATAATAATAAAACAGGTAATTTTGTTGACGTTTATTTTTATATAATCTACATTTTAGTTTAATTAAATACGTCATTACAACTTACATATAATTATGTACAATGCTAGTAATATTTCGTACATTTTACTCGTGTATACAATTACTGTTATATACGAAATAATTTCATGCATTTGCATAACCATTTTTAAATCAGACAATTCAATCTCTAGCAATTAAAACTGATTAATTTCATTGCCAAAATCAACATGTATTTAACATGCAATTAATATATATCCAAGAGAAAAACAATAACAGTTCAA